GAGTCAGTCAGCCCCAGTCAGTCATCTTCTCCCCAGCCGGCTGGGTCCCCCAAAAGGGTACCTCGTCTACTGTTTACTGCAGCATGGTCATCTCCTCTCTACCCCTGGCTCCCTCAGGCTCACTTCTCTTTATCAGCTCAGCTACATAGCTACTTCTCAACAGCTGGACTCTGTCCCCCTTGACGTCTCTGCAACCCCCCTTCTCACTCCATTCTAGGAAGACAGGAAGGTTGACTCCCAATCTTCTGGCGCAGAGGGTTCATCTCTGACCATACTAGGCCTTAACTAGGATTCTAAGTATTAATTATATAACCACTTACATAAGCCCATTGTCCACCTCACATGAACTTAATAAACCCATAGTCACTCAGCTCTCCCTTACACAAGCTAATACCAAATAAGGTCTATATGAGCTACATACTATTCCATTACATATTTCCTCTGGAATAGGGTTTATTTTTTTCACTACTACACTAGTATCCACAAAAAAAACCCCCCACAGACTCAAAACGGGCTGTACCTCACCATCTTCCCTTTTACCAACACTGCTGCAGGCAAAACCGACCTCTCTCTCGCCCCACTTGACGTCACTCCTCTATTTCTCCCGCTCCCCTCTGCCCCGGAAGTGTTCTTGGGAATGGCCTTCTCCTCTTGGTGATTTACCTGGACAAGACTCTTCATACATGTATTTAGGAGTATGAAGAGTCTAAGGTAAATCACCAGATATTGCTGCCATGCTGCTCTTTGTGTGGGTTTTTTATTGAGTCTAATAGCCTGCATGGTTGGGCTAATTGATCGTCTCTCCTTCTGTGGATCTTTGGTGATACAAAGCTTTTTCTGTGATCATGGACTAATATTCATGACACCTCTTTAAATTACATAATGGGACTTTTGGTTGTAACTATAATTGTCTGTATTCCTCTTCTGTTGACATCAATGATATATGTTTGCATTGCCATAGCACTGAGCAGGGTTGCATCAGGAAAGGAACGAGTCAAAACTTTTCAAACTTGTATTTCTCACTTGATTCTTGTGGCTATTTTTTTCCTACCCTTCTTGAGTGCCAACATAATTTTTCTGACCTCCAACATCCATCCTAATACCAGGATCATAAACCCTATTTTGGCACACACCATACCAACTTTGCACAATCCTATTATTTACTCTTTAAGAACAGAAGAAGTTTTGAACTCTATCAGGAAACTTTGCAAACCCATTAGGATGAATGATACCACCTTGTCCAAAAAGGTGACCTCTGTGTCACCACACTGACATTTAGCATACATGTGTTTGAAAACATTGTACCATAAACATCTTAGCATTACGTACAACATTTTAATTTTTACATTGTGGTTATTTTGATATTTTGACAGCAGCATCCCACATCCAATAGACACAGGGGGACAAACAAATAACCTTATTGATCCCCTTCCAGGGAAGATTTTTAAGAAGTAGATCTAATTTAATTTGTCAGGCTGAAACTGTCAAGTTAATCTCAGTAAATTAATTAACAAAAACACAATTTGCAATTTTTGTACAGTTTGTGTTAGTTTAATATATAAAATGATGGACCTCATTTTTTAAGGTTTACCTCCCAATATTTGTGTGTACAGAAGCAAAAAATGTAAAGTTTTAATTAATTTAATGATCACATCTATTTTGACTTGGCCTATAATTAAAAATTATACATTTATATGCAGTACATGTCCAGCTCTTCTTGAAAGACGTTGTGTGAAATATTTCATATTTGTAAGTAAGGTTTATTTATATAGCACTTTGCTTTTCACAAAATGACTATAGGCTATATTCTATAAAATAGCAATATCATCATATGTGACTTGAAGGATCTTTAAGTGAGTTCTGATTTTATATAACCCTACTCCGGGTTATCCCAGTCATCACTCTCCAGGCTCCAACTTGTTTATGGCTGTAGAACTGTATGCACTTCAATGCAATACTTCTATTTGTGAAGCTCAAAATGTTTCAGTTTGTTGGACGAAACCAGTCCTGCGTGTTCTTTTATGAAGAATGTTGTCATGAATATATCAATTCAATTGGTAGTGTTCTGGCCTAAATTATGTTCAGAAGTGTTCCTAATATTCTGAACCTCTTATGTTTGTAGCTGGACAAAAATATAGACACCTCGGAATATAATGTAGTTCAGTACAACATCACCTTAAACTATGACCTCAATAATAAACATATAATTTATACACTTAATGACAATTTCACTAAATGATTATTTCAAACAAAACACACATAAATCATTTTATGATTATCTTTACTTATTAAGAGCTTAACTTTTCTAAGCATTCTGCCACAGCATTTTAATGATAATTCCTTTGACTTCTCCAACCTCCCCTGGAACTTCCTCTTTCTCCTCTGCCTTCTCTGTATCTCGGTGCTCTTCAAGGCCCGTATTCACAGCCTCGCTGACAATGTTGAGCTTCATACATGTTAGGGTAGCTCGAACACAGAGACGAGCAAATGGGAAAAAAACGGACCTAGGGTGTTGATCAGCAGATGCAAAACAGTCAGTGGTATGGTGAATGATACTGGACCGGGCTGCGGACGCTGGGATCACTCCTGGGCTGGGCGAGGTAGGGATGATGGTGGCTGAGGAGACAGGAGCATGTACAGACAGTTAACGAAGGCTGTGCATCAACCTGTATGGTGGAGGCTGGCCGGGCTGAGATGATCTAGGGTCGAGACGAGCGGTCTAAAGAGGAGGAAAGAAACAGCGGGACGAAAAGAGGTGCGAATAACACAGAAGACTGTAACTGGTGTACTAGCACAACGAAGACAATGAGCATAGGGGCCTGAAGACAAAGATTGAACTGGCAGGGGAGTGAACGGTGAGCAGTGTATAAGTACGGAGGGAAACTAGCGAGGCACAGCTGCTGAATAATCAGGGAAGCGGGGCAGGTGTGTCGAATAGTGCAATCAGTGCAAGGGAGCAGACTAGAGTGAGGAAGGGAAGAGAGGAAGGTGCAGCCAGGCAAACCTGACAATACACACAGATGTGTGTATGAATGGTGGAAGTGTTGCATTAAAATGCATACAGTTGTACTGGTGTACCTAATAAAGTGGTCCGGTAATGTATGACCCCACTTAAATGCCGTGGTCAAAAGGGTTCAGGCAGCATTCTGGACCACTTGTAAATCATCCAAAGATTTTTTTTTAAACCGAGACAAGTGAATAAGGAGTTAAATTAGTTTAACTGGGATTTATTAAGGAGTACAAACAGAGTAACTGAGTCAACGTATAGTAAAATAACCAGGGTAGGGCAGGGATGGCTGTTTAGAATATTCCTCAGCTGAAAGAAGTAGGAACATGTCAGACACTGTAAATGTTTACATGCTTGGCTGCAGACAAGATGTGGAGCTGCTGTTCACTGCTGTTATTCCTGTACCACTCAGAAGAGACTGGTAAGGCATCTCCAGATGGTCCAGGGTCTTAACCGCCAGGCTCTGGCTGACTCTGCAGTACAACAAAATAGAACTTACAAGACTCTGCGTCAGGGACAGGTATTCATGCCAGGGAGCAAGGTCTGAGTGTACTGCCCTGTTTGCAAGAAAGGGGTGTTCCCCAAGCTCTGCAGCCATTGGCAGGGACCATTCCCTCACTCCATCTGATGCAGAGGGGGGAGCAACAGTAGCATCCCACAACCAATAGACACAGGGGACAAACAATAACCCTATTTGCCAGACATGCAAAAGAGGGCTGTTTTTCAGTTTCCACCTCTCTCAACAAAGTTAAAGCTCGGCAGACCTCTGTCACCAGAAAGAGATGGACCTACTTTCATCTACATAGGACAACACAGTGCTGACACATAGAGAACACTCGTCTATAAATAATTGTAATGTAAACAATTTTACTATGGAGTTATTTAACTCTGATCTTGAAAGAAACATCACTTTTGTGCGTCCTCCATATTTCATAATAAGTGGATTTACTGGCATACCTAATATGAAGTATTATTATGTTATTCTCTTTATTGTTTATATAGTTTCAGTGCTGGGAAACACAGCTGTGATGGTAATAATATGCTTGGATCATACTCTGAGAACTCCAAACTATGTTGCAGTGTTTAATTTAGCATTTGCAGACCTGTTTGGTAGCTCTGCTGTGGTGCCGAAGGTTCTTGACATTTTCTCTTTTTGACCATCCCTACATCTCCTACAACGACTGCTTGGCATACATGTTTTTCTGCTACAGCTGCCTTTCAATGCAGCCATTTAATCTTACATGTTTTTCTGCTACAACTGCCTTTCGATGCAGCCATTTAATCTTGTTGCACTCTCCTATGACAGACTGATAGCCATCATATTCCCACTGCACTATCAAGTGAAGGTGACCCACAAGTTTATGTTTTCCTTGATTGCCGTGTCCTGGCTCTTTGTTATTACTGTTACACTCATCTCAGTTGACCTTCTCACAAGACTTTCCTACTGTGAGTCTGTGGTTATTAACAGCTATTTTTGTGACTATGACTTCATTCAAGATCTAGCCTGCAATGATAATGCACTCAATGTGGTCACTGATCATTTGATATCAGTACTTACTCTTTGGCTTCCACTGCTATTTATCTTGTGTTGTTATTCACACATTGGATATACTGTATGTCTCTCCAGGCCAGCATCACCCCGGCCAGGCCCCCAAAAAGTACACGGTTTACTCTCCCTGTCAGGAATCGGCGCATGATGCTGCCAAAAATGTTGGTGAACTGATTAAAAGGCCAGACGAGGAAATGTAAAACAAAACCGTCTCTTTAATAAGAGAACTAATGCTAAACAAAAACCCATACAAGACACGGTGAAACACAAAACTCACGGTCGGTATAAAGGTCCAAGATCAGAGCCAGCAAACACATATATCAAAGGGAATCAAAAGTTCGTTGTCCAAATGGAAGTCCAATAATCATACACAGTGGCAGTCCGTAACAAGAGGGCAAGGCAGAACAGAATAGTCAGACAGGTCAAAACACGAGAAATACACAAACCGAATATAATGCTGGAAAGTCAGAGCTGGGTTCTAGAACAATCTGGCGGGGACTGGTGGGTGAAGGCTGCTTATAATGCGGTGCAAACTATCGGGAGCAGGTGAATCAATGTGAGTGATTAGTGAAAGTAAAAAGACCAAAAGAGGTGAAACAAAAACAGGAAGTAAGGTCAAAATAAAAGCCTGACAGGAAGAAGCGGAACCGAATCATGACACAAATGTACTTTGAGAAGAACAAACTGGGGCAGATTAATCTTTGTCATGGCCGCTGTCACAGTTTGAGTATAACCGTAGCAAATATACAATAGACTTGGCTGTTAACGCAAGAGACAATTACTGTATGTCAGGAGACCTCTGCAACAGCAGGTATACTGCACCATTGTCATCATGGAAACAATTCAATTCAAATTTCTTTCTATAGTGCCAAATCACAACAAAAGTTGTATCAAGACACTTTACAAAGTAAGGTCCAGGTCCTACTGTTATTATTATTGAGGAAAAACACAAGCACTTGCCAACAATGGGGAGGAAAAAGTCCCTTTAATGGAAGAAACCTCCGACAGACCCCTGCTCTTGATGGGCGGCCTTCTGCCTCGACAGGTTGGGGTGAGTAGACAGAGAGAGAGAAAGAGAAAAAGAAAAGAAAAGCAACAGGAAACAACAAAAAATGAAACACTGGGCAGGTTGATGTGGCCAGTCACTGCTCTTCAGAAACATATAGCTCTAGTGCCTAGGATACCCGCGCAAGGGTACAGAGGAGACACAAAGTTAGTGACATGTAATGGTGGCATATGAGTAGCAAATATACAAGATACTTGGCTGTTATAGGAAGAAACAATTATATCAGGAGACCTCTGCGCCAGTAGGTATATTGCACCTTCATTGTCATAAAAACAGTCATGTACACACATAAAAATGATTGAACTGTCACAGTCTAATTAGGTATCGGAACAAAAATTATTGTACTTTCCTGGTTTTACAAAGACTTTTGTGTGATGTCATCATGTTATGATAATAAACATATGCTTAAAGTTGTGGAAGTATTCTAGGTAAAAACATTTCACACAGGAATTAAACATGGGTTTCCTGTTGCAAAGTCCTGTGTTAATGTGACCCATCATTCTGCTGCAGTAACATTTTGAAATGTTGCTGATGGGCTTAGAAATAATAGACACAGGGGAGCTGACACTGGCCTTATTTATCAGAAATGCAGAGGAGGGCTGCTTCTCTTGGTAGGCCTCTCTCAACAAAGGTAAAGCTCGACAGAGCTCTGCCACCAGAAGGAGAGTGATGTTTTCACCTCCATCTACTGTACATAAGACCTCACAGTCTCACAGAGGAGGACACTTCTTTCTATAAATCACTGTGTTGTGGACAGTTTTACTATGGAGTTACTTAACCCAGATCTTGAGAAAAACATCACTTTTGTGCGTCCTGCTTATTTTATATTAAGTGGACTTATTGGCATACCTGATATGAAGTATTATGTTTTTCTCTTTTTTGTTTACATTGTTTCAGTGCTGGGAAACACAGCTGTGATGGTAATAATATGCTTGGATCATGAGCTAAGAACTCCAAAATATATTGCAGTGTTTAATTTAGCATTTGCAGACCTGTTTGGTAGCTCTGCTGTGGTGCCAAAAGTATTTGACATCTTTCAGTTTGACCATCCCTACATTCCCTACAATGACTGTTTTACATTCATGTTTTTCTGTTACGCCTGCCTTTCAATGGAGCCTCTTAATCTGACTGCACTTGCCTATGACAGACTGATAGCCATTAGTTTCCCTCTGCACTATCAAGTAATGGTGACCCACTGGACACTCTGTATCAGTTCTTATGCTTTGGCTTCCACTGCTATTTATCTTGTCATGTTATTCATATATTGGCTATGCATTGTCTAAAGTAGCTGCAGTTAGAGAAAGAGTGAAGGCCTTTAAAACCTGCACGTCTCATCTTTCATTGGTGGCAATCTATTTTCTCCCTGTAATGTTCACATTTGCTTTGAATGAATATATAGATGCAAATACCAGACTCATAAACATGTGTCTGACCACTGTCTTTCCTCCCATGTTGAATCCAATCATTTATGTTCTGCAGACACAAGAAATACAAGTATCTGTGAAAAGGTTACTAAAAATCAAAAAGCAATCCAAAACCCCAGTTAAGTGTAAGATTTGAGTCTTATAGGCTCTAGTTACTGTATAAGGTGTAGTTACTTTTCATAACTTTAGTTTCCTTACTTATACATATTAAAGCTGTATTGATGACTGCTGTATTGTGCTGAGTGAAACTTTGGAACTGTAGGCTGTAACTTCTGTAGAGACCTGAGATGACCACCTGGCCAGTTTAACATACATATTGGCATCACACACGCGGGGCCTGCAACCCCGGCCCCCCATTGTGCATTGATCAAGATCAAGCTGCCACCTGAGACACACACACACACACACACACATACATACCTAGATTTTACTACATTCCAACAAGGAAGTGTGACCTCTGGCTTACACCAAAGGGCCAACAAGATTATGAAGTGTGAATTGTTGTACCTGTGTTTAGGGTGGGCCTAGCCCAAGAGGATAACATGTATTGTAAAACATAACTCAGGGTTCAAAAGACGGATCTCCTGCGGGAGCTCTGTCGCTCTGATCCCAGCACTGTAAAGACCTACCTGTGCTCAGACTTCCAGTAAACTTCCTGTTGATTTTAAGCAGTCCTCTCCTGTCTTCACTTCTCAGGCTTTCAATAAAAGAATTTGGGTAGAATCTAACAGAAGAAAGTAATTTTAAAATGATCATTTGTGTATATTCAGTGATATCTCTTTAGGATATTGTTTATAATCCAGTAAAAGTTGGAGCAAAGTCTATAGAGCAACAACTACAGCTTATTGTAAAATGGACACTTTTGTAACATCCCACAACTGATTGAATAATAATTTGTTTTGTAAAAAGGGATTGTAGTGATTCATTTAGAAGTCAATTTAAAACAATACTCAAATAAAATAACTCTTTTATGGCCCTGTGGTATTAACTACACTCTACATTATGACAGGTACAACACACAATAACACTAGTATTCTGCTAATTACTTTAAATTGTTTTTCAACAAAAAATGAAAATATATTTGGCCTTGTGTTGTATGGTGACATCCACCACAAAATGTAGTAGATTTATTTATAGACAGTAAATGTAAATTTTGGATTTGTCTCATACAACCAAAAATAGAATGAATTTGGTTCTCTCTCTTTTTGTTCTTTTATATATTTAAAGAAATGAGTGGCTGAATCATTGTGTTTATAATTATTGATTTTATGGAAAAATTGGTGTTGAAATCCCAGTAAATGACCAACTATACCACAAGATACACAGTAAGCCATGAGTTGATACATGATGATTGAGCCCACTGAGAAGGTTTGAGTGTCTGCTTCTGCAAAAACACCCTACAGTATATTCAGCTGCCTAGTGCTTTACTGGAAAGTGACTGATAACGTATTTGTCAAAATACAAGCAAATGCAGTTATTAGCTTTTAAAATCAGTTAAACAATTTATTATGATTTATTTTTCTGTTTTGGTATGGTGATAGAATATCCTCTTAATATTTGAAAATTCATTTTATATTTATTCTCACATCTTCCAATAGTGAACTCCTTTTCTTTAGTAGTTTGTTTAATCACATATACTACTCTGATGCTACTATAGTGTAACAAAATCCTACACAGAAGACATTTTTATTAGTTTGTACAATACCCTTCATGATGAGGAAGCTGAACTTCATGTGTGGTAAATGGTGGCATGCCTTTCAGACAGTGATTTGTATTAAAGCTTTGAGATGCACAGAGCTGATCTCATTAGACTGTTACCCTAAATTTCTATCTGTGCCCAAGAACTAAAACTGCAGTCATTGAGGAGTTTATTTTGCATCTCATCCTTTTCCATGATGTGCTCAAAGCAACCAAATTCATGTCATGTTGATCTTGTAACTGCAGATGATCAGGACCAGTCTGTAATCACTGCCATCTCAGAGAAGCACACAGAGGTCAAATGGGAAGAAGTCTTAAATCAAGCAGAAGGCCTGTGTGCAGGCACAGGATTTGCAAAACAGATTTCTTTATGTAAGAGAAAGCAGACCCAAACAGCTAAACATTTGGAGAGTAAAGACCACACTAATACAACTTAGAAGACCTGAGAATATAATTAAGATCATGCTGTATCTGTAATTTATTCCTATAAACATATTAAACGAGACCTCTATTATTTTGATCAAGTACTCGAGGAAAAATAAGGTGTCATCTTAAGTATGTGTTAAGGCATGGGAGCCAAGTCTAGGCAGATGGACTCAATAGGCAGACTCAGAAAGAAGGAATCAAAAAGTACTTTATTCTTTGACAAGCTGTACTAGGGGATGATGCACCAGACATAGATCGAACAGGAACCCAGGGTTCCTGGCATTGGAGCTGGTCAACAGGAAACAAGGTGATGATCTGGAGAAGCAGGGACTGGGCCAATCCGGTCGTGTGGTGTGAATGCAGGATGAGGGACGGAAGCAAGCGAAGTGGTGGTCGAGGGGCCGTTTAATACTCAACAAGGCTGGCGAGTCTGGCTGGCTTAGTGGTTGGCCAGAGGTATTGTCGGACAGCGGGAAAGGTGATTGGTCATAACCCAGGGGGCCCTCATGCAATTGCGAGGGATAACAGGTGAGTTACAGACACCAGGCTAG